TTATAAGGCATGTCTCTTGTAGACAGCATATTGATGCGTTATATTTTCTTATCCAGTCTGAAATTCTCCATCTCTTAAGTGATACATTTCATCCATTGACATTCAGTGTAATTATTGACAAGTATGAATTTATTGTCATTTTGTTAGGTGTTTTTTTGTGGTCTTGCTGATTTCTTTGTTCCATATAATTTTCTGTGCAGAGCTCAATTTACGAATCGTGTTATCACTTCCTTCATTGCTACTGTTTTGTTGTTGGTGTTATTCTTGTTGTTGTTATATGCCGCCAAGTCAGACCCGACACATAGCGACCCCTCCTTGGGTTTCTGAGGCAGTATCACTACGGAAGTAGATTGCCCCATGTTCCTTCCAAGGAGTGGCTGGCTGGTGGTTTTGAACTGCCAGCCTTCTGGTTTAGCAGTCAAGTGCCTTAAGGCAGTATGATTTTGTGCTGGTCCTCTTTTTTACTCTGATGTGAAGGTTTAGCTTTTTTTTTTTTTTTTTTTTAAGTTACCCTGTGATTTATAATTTTTTCCCCAAGTTTAGAACAGTACATTCTACTTTGTAGTTGTCTTGACTTCCCTACCATTTAGAAGTTCTGTAACTACACAATTTTTTCCCTCTTTCTTGTTTGGAGTTGTCCTCATTTGTCAAATGACATCTCTGGTTCACTGTTTACAATTTCGTTGCTTTCTGGTGTATGTCATCATGTGTGTTGTTAATAGTTGGTTGTTTGCCGCTGCTGGTTCTCTGTTCAATGGACTCTCTTTAGCATCTCTTGTAAGGTTGATCTGGTTTTAAGAAATTCCCTTAATTTCTGCTTATCAAGAAATGTTCTAATTTCACCATATTTGAGGGGCAATTTTGCTGGGTATATAATTCTTGGTTTTCTTTCCAGGTTTTACATATACCATCCCAATGTCTTCTCGCTTTTATGGTTTCTGCCAAGAAATCCGAGCTTAGCTTTATTAGTTGCCCCCTGTAGGTAACTTTACGTTTTTCTTGTGCTGCTTTCAGGATTCTTTCTTAGTTTTTGGGTGGTAAGTTCGATGATGATATATCTTGGTGCTTTTCTTCTGGTCTATCCTGTTTGAGGTTCCCCAAATTCTTGAATCGTCTTCTTCAGTCTTCCATCATACTTTGGAAATTCTCTTCCAACAAATCTTTGACAATTTTCTCTGTGGTTTCATTTGTCTCTTCCTTTTCTGGAATTCCAATAGCCCATAAGTTATTCCTTTTCATGGCATCTTACATTAATCCTAAGCTTTTTCATTTTCTTTTGGTCTTTTTACTGATTGACCCCTTTACAAAGTAGTATTGAGGCATTTGTCTTCAATCTCACTAATTCTGTCTTCCATTGATTTGATTCTACTCCTCTGCCCATTTAATGTGTTATCTATTTCTAAAAATTTAGTATTGATCTTCTGGATTTCTATCTGTAGATTCTGTATCATTTCTAATTTTTCATTTATTTAGTCATTTTGTTACTTTACTTTCTTTCAAACTTGTTCTAGAATTTTCTGTTTTCCTCAATTTTGTCAGTGTTTTCTTTGATTTGTCTCTCAATCTGTTGAAGGCACCAAATACAATTCTTTTAAAATTTATCAGGGAATTACAGTGCTGCTTCTTCCTCAGGGATGTGTTCTAGGTCTGTATCCTGGTCCCTTGTTTCTCTGCTTTATCTTCTTTATTTGTATGGACTGTGATACTCTGTTATCTCTGAGACGTTGTGACATTTTTGTGTTATGTTTCAATGGTGATTGTACATTTGCAAAAAGGGCAGGGAGGCCACATGTTCTGACCTCCTCTAACCCCATAAGAGGAAGACAGAATCACCACCAGCAACCTAAAGACTATTCCCTCAAGGCCAGACAAGCTGCCTCCCTCCAGCCCTTTCACCTACTGTTCCTCCCAAAACACCCACCACCTTTCTCCTGGGTTTGATAGCTCACTGCAGTGGCCACACAGAACTCACAGATTATGAGGTTTATTAGGGAAGCTCCAGGCTACAATTCAAGTTCATGAAATACGCTCAGTCTCTCTCCCAGCTCACAATCTCTCTCCTAACAGTCTCTCACAGTCTCTCTCCCAACAGTGAGTGTCCCTCAGTATTTCACTCAGCAATGCGTCTCTTGCATCCCTTTCCCAGCAGCACGTGTCTCTTTCAGCATCTTCCTCAACCAGCAGTCAGAGAGACAGAGTTCTTCTGCCTTTAGGAGGCCTCCTTTTGAGCCTGGCAGTGGCCAAACTCAATCATAACATCAGAATTCTAAACACCTGAGAGAGAGCAGAAACCTCCCAGAACATTGCTTTGTGTTACACCCAACATAAATACCCCCAGGTGGATAACTTTAACAATCAGGAGCTCCTCAATTTGCTCACAGCAAATTCCCCCACAGAGTTTACAAAGACTTATGGCTAGAAAACCATACCAGGTAATTTACTACAGAACAACGTTGGAGTGATCTGCCCAAAATTTTCATTATCTTTGTTTTGTTTGGATGTTATCTACATAAGGAGAGTACAGTGATCCTCTATTCACTAGTTGGTAGCATTTATACACTCACCACCTGTCTTCTTGCCTACTGTCAGCCTCCCTTATGTACCTGCTGTCCCTGGCAAACAGCGCCTACTCTTAGCTCTCATTTGGAATTCAAATGAGAATGCTATCACTTTAAATATCCAAAACGGCTGCCTCTTGCAAACACTCAAAATGGCTGCACTCTCGGTAACTTTAAATATCCAAGATGGCCACCACTTATAAACAATCAAAATGGCTGCGCCCTCCACACAGCCCAAAGTCCACAGCTCAGATTGTCTCCCTCTTTCCTGCTTCCCTTCCTAGTCATCAGCCACCTGCACAATAGTCCCTGCAGCCCTTGGTGACCAGGACCGATCTTTAGGTAATTTCTCACGTCCCAACACCACTTGGAAATATTCAGGTTGTTGGTGCCATCAAAATAGCTGACAGTCTACAGTTTTGTCCGTCTTCGTAGTCACTGTTTTCATTCAGGTTTTTCCACTAGTTGATGCCTAATTCACTCCTGTATACTTCCTTTCAAAGCTCAGGGCTCCAGGATTATCTTCTGTATCTCTGTCAATTGGTTTCTCTTTTCTTTGTTCAAGAGTGTGTAGCTTGTCTATTTCGCCCTCTTACCAGAAATCCCCATGTGTGACGTTCTTGATGTCACATCCCGTAACTCATCTAGTCTTCAGTCACTTGTATTCAATGCATCACACCTATTATTCAAATTGTCTCTAAATTCAGGTGGGATATGTTCAAGGTCGCATTTTGTCTCTTGTGGGCTTGTTTTAATTTTCCTCATCTTCAACTTAAATTTGCATATGAGGTTGATGGTCTGATGCAGTTGACCCTGATCTTGTTCTGACTGATGATCTTGAGCTTCTCTATCACCTCTTTCCAGATACAGTAGATTTGATTTCTGTGTATTCCATCTGGCAAGATCCATGTATATGGTTTCTATTAATGTTATTTAAAAAGGGAATTCACAACGAATAAGTCATTGGTCATGAAAGATTCTATCATGTGATTTCTGACATCATTTTTACCACCAGGCTGTATTTTCCAACCACTGATGCTTCCTGGTTTCCAACTTTCTCATTCCAATCACCAATAATTATCAATACATCTTTTCAAACAACTGTCTCTTGATCCATGTAGAGGTTCCATGCAAGCACAATTAAGTATTCTCCGCAAAATTACCTATAATTTGGTATGATGCACAAAATCAAATGCCTCTGTGTAATAAATAAAATATAGGGAATGTATTTGTGTTATCTTCCGCTTTTGGCCAATATCCATCTGACATTAGCAATCATATCCCTCATTCCACAGACTCTTCTGAAGAAGGCCTGAACTTCTGGACAGTTCCCTGTCTATGTATGACTTCAGCTGTTTTTAAATTATCTTCAGAAAAATTCTGCTAATATGAGGTGTTAAAGACATTCAATAATTTCTGCATTTTCTCTGATCGTCTTTTTTTGGGAATGGGCATGAATATAGATCTTTTCTGGTTTGTTAGACAGGTCACTGTCTTCCAAATTTCTTAGCTGATAAATAAGCACTCCTAGAGTTGTATTATTTGTTAGGGAAATACAAATGGAAAATGGCTAAAACTAAAAAAGTGACTATACAAAGTACTCATAAGAATGGAGAACTCTGGAACTGTTCGTGGTTCCCATTTTGCAAATCAGTCTACCAGTATCTTAAAAATGTAAATACCCAACTATTCCACCGAATTAGAAATGCTATTGTATGTCTATAAAAAGACTTGTATGTGGATGCTCACAGCAATTTTTATAGTAAAAAGTATTTCTAGTATTTTTATAGTAAAAAATTACAAACAATCCAAATATCCATCAACAAGTGAATAGAAGAACATATTATGGTATACTCATAAGTGAAACACTATTCAACAATAAAGAAAAATGGAGTACTGATAAACACAAATGGAGAAATTTCAAAATAATCGTAACTGGCTGAACAAAAGAGAGATTCTAAAAAGAGTACATACTTCTGATTCCATTTATATGAAATTCTAGAGAATGCAAGCAGATTTGTAATTATAGATAGCTTTCCAGTAGAATAGAGAAGGGGTTAGGGGAGGAAAAGTGAAGTTCGGGTTGTGGTCATGTATTCACAATGCATACATATGTCAAAACAGATCAAGGTATATACTTTAAATACATACAGTTTTTCTTTATCAGTTATACCTGAACAAAGATGTTAAAAAATAAAAAGTAGCCTCATAGTGTCTACACTAACAAGCAGTGATTATGAAGGATCTTATTCATTTGTATAGAGAATCAGCATCATACTTTCTTCTAAAGTTATCATTCAGCATGCATACATCACATCAGTGTCTAATATAAGTTTTCCATGGAAAGTTAATATAGGACTATTCCCTAATCAGCTGGTGCTATTAAACAGATACAATTTTATAATGTAGAGAAGAATCTCATAAAATGCAAATCTGTGTTACCTAAATAGGAAGCACCTAAAGAATCTCTTGCAGTTTGGAAGAGAACTGGTTCATGGACAGAAGGCGTTGCTACATCAACAGTTGTCCACGCCACACTATGGGATGACCCGCAGGCCACACGTGTGATTTTCTGCCCTTCAAGGCCTTGTACAAGTGTGGGCTTTCTATTGACTGTGGTTGTGCCATTGCCCTGTTGTCCATGGTCATTGTCACCCCAAGCATATACCTGTTTTAAAAAAAAAAAAAAAATTAGAATTTTTCAATCTTCCAGAATATATATGCCAAATCTACTTCAAAATGCTTGAAGTATACACAGGCACTTACAAGAATTTAGCTCTTAAAAGGAAAGACAAAACCACTTCAAAAACTTAGAAAAAGGCCATCTGTGTACAAGAAAGTTTCCCAGGTTACAAATGACTGACTTACAGACAACTCCTCCATGTCCATTATGTAAGTTTGCCCTAACTTTTTTTTTGTTTTTCAACTTTTTGTTGTGACTTGGGTGAATGTTCACAGAGCAAATTAGTTTCCCATTCAACAATTTATATACATTTATTTTATGACCCTGCAATCCCACAATGTAACAGCAGTCTTCCCACTTCTTCCCTGTAGCTTCTGTTTCCATCTGTCCTCCTTTCCTATCCATTACTGCCTTTTGAGCTTTATCTCTGGGTAAATGGTGCCCTTCTCATTTTGTTTGTATGGTTGAATGCTCTAAAAAGCGCATACCTCCTTTGGGTTACTGTTCACCTTACAGGCCTGTCTACTATTTATCTGAAAGTTGAGCCATGGGGGTAAATTCAGTTTCAGGGTTGAAGGTGCCTAAAGGCCACAGTATTCAGAGGTACCAACAGTATCTATCAGGGCAGTAAGCTTGGTCTTTTTTATGATTCTGAGTTTTGGTCCACATTTTTCTCCTACTCTATCCAGAACCCTCTGTTGTGATCCCTTTCAGAGAGATTGGTAGTAATAACTGGGCACCATCTAGTTCTTCTGGTCTCAGAGTCAGAGCTGAAGTTTGCATGGTGCATTAGTCCTCTGGACTAAGTGTTTCCCTGCATTATTTATTTTCTTCAATTTTATTGCTCTGGACACAGAGAGACTAATAGATAGCCACTCACAAGATTTTAACACCCCACCCCAGTTGCTACTCACCAAAGTAGTATATAAAACACTATCTTTGTGAACTATGTCATGTCAACTGACCTTGATGTGCCTCGATACTATGGTCCTGAGGCGCCAGGCCTGGCGACTCATTCCCTTAAGGTGTTTGGTTATGGCTAAGATCTTTTCATAACTTTACCCCTGGGGTATGCTCTACTATATTCATGGATATATTTGCAACACATATAAATAGATAAGTAGAAATACCCTGACAATCCTACATACATTCATGAGTGTAGTTGCCTTCCCATACCTGTTCAGCCTGCGTTATCTATCTACATATCCACTTGCAGATTATTTTTATTAGTGTCACTGCAGGAATGTATATGCTAGTATTTACTTTTGTTGCCATAAAGTCTTGTGGTCTTCCCAGGGTCCTGCTTTGCCTTGATCACCTTGTGCTGATCTCATCCTTACTGTATACTACCCTTACTTTCACTCAAGTTAATACGTGTCTTAAGACAATTTAACTAACCCCTCGAAAAAAAAACAAAAAAAAAGAAACTCACTGCCACTGAGTTAATTCTGACTCATGGCGACAGCCACTGGGTTTCTGAGGCAATAAATCTTTACAGAAGTAGATTGCTCCATCTTCTTTCTGTGGAGCAGCTGGTAGGTTTGAACTGCCAACATTCTGGTGAGAGTCAAATGCCTTAAGCACTGTGCCACCACTCGCAGTAAATTCTTCATCACAATCACCTTCATTTGCTGTACATGCAACTTTTAAATCATTGAGAAGCCTTCAAGTTTCTTGAACTATAGTAAAGCTAAATAAGCACTGTATCACCTCTTCCGACTTACCTACAAAGTCTTAAAGACACACAGGAATGGATCTCATACTCCAGGGACTGCCTGTACTATAATTCTGAGGGAAATTTAACCATGGAAAAACTTGCCATGATTATAAATGAGCTTTACCTTGATATCAATCCAGTTATCCATCTACTCTGTCCTATTTTAGAAACCAAGGAAAGTTCTATCTTTAGCTGAACGCAGTAATTTCTTTTGTCCTTATTTTACAAAGAAATGATCAAAAATAATATGCTCATATTTCAAGTAATTTTCTTCTTAATATTATAGAATTATAAAGTATAAGTCATTTTTAAGTTCATTTTGTTTAAAAAATATTAGTGTGATAATTTTATAGTCTAGATGAATTCGGGGCCGACTCGACGGCACATAACAACAACAACAACAACAGATGAATTTTAAAAAAACATACATACCATTTACAAGTCTGTCATGCTTCTCAAAGCAGAAGAATGAGTAAACCCTCTCAAATACAACTTCCAGCTGGCATCCATCCTCTAATGTAAACTACTACTCACACCTTAACCAAAAGGAGTACATTCAACAATAACAGTCTTACATATTTTCATGTGGAGTGTAGATTCAACTACTTTAACTGGGAAATTCCACTATTTCCTAACATACGTCAATCAGTGAGTATTCTACTGCATTCCCACTATTTGCTGACAAGTGGCAAAACAAGTACTAGTGAACAAGGTGTGTGCAGTCCCACCCTCATGATTCCATAGATACTAAAAATTACCTTATTTCATTATATATGACCATCATCAATCCTGGAGTCAGCATCGCCACAGGTGGCTATAGCTTACCTGCCCTGCGTCAGTAACAGCTAGGCAATGCAGGGCACCAACAGCCACGTGCACGATCTTCTTCCCTCTCAGCCCTTCTACCACCTGAGGCTTCCTCACATGGACGTCAGAGCCATGACCCAGCCTGAAGTAATCCCCCTTGCCCCTAAAAAGAGGTCAACAGTGTGAGTTTTAGTAACGTGTTACAGTTTGGCAATGCTACCTAATTAAACAATCATTTGTTTTACAGCTTTTAGAGCAAGCTCAGTGATGATATCACACCAAGTATTTAAGGTCTCTGGAATTGTTATACAATCATATATCATTAATTCAAGTTAACTCTTTTTGTGCTAGGAAGATACTTCATATTGTAATACATGTTACAATATTCAAGTTACTGTTGCATGTATTCATATAAAGAGATTAAAACCATGACAACCAACCTGAAATACCTCTAAAAACCCTATGTGTTGTAATTCCATCTAAACTTGTCTCTGTGTTACAACAGTCAAACATGCTATTTGCCATGCTGTCCAAGGTCAATTTTGGTTGTTCCACTCCTTCATACTTCAATAAAATAAGCTTTCACAAGAAAAACAAATGGATTTTTTTCAGGATCAAAGAAATCAGAAATTAGTTTTCCCCCTATTCATTGCTAGGCATCTGGTACAGTAAGAGATCAAAAGAAACCCTTAAACCTCATCCAAACAAGAAAGAAGTGCCCTAAATTTTTTAGTGTTCTTTGAAAATGACACAGATATAATTGATAATTTCTTCCTGTAGTATTATTATTAATCTTGACTCAGTATATATAAAGAAAGCCAAAGACAGACGGTTAAATAAGAAAATGAAGGTTCCACAATCCAGTGGGGTGAGAACTGAGGGTGTGAATAACAAACAAATCAGATAGCTTCCTGCACATGACCCCTCCAACTATAGATGCTTCTGGGATAATATGGAACTTTACCTACCAGGTCCACACCACTCCAGATTTTGTAAGAGCCAAGGAAAATTGAGCACCACACTCAATCTGGCAAACCCCTTGTCCATTCAATCGTTCAATGTTCTGGGGAATGTTACAGCCTTCACTTCCTCCACGGCCCAATTTTCCAAAGTCACCATCACCCCATGAAAATACCAAACCTAGATTTAAAAAACAAACAAACAAAAAAAACAGTATTCTTCAAGCCAGCGCTTCTTAACAATCCTATCTACCCAAAAGTACAGAATTACAATTAGAGCTCACCTTCATCAGTCAAAGCCAGAGTCTGTGCATCTCTACTTCCACATGCAACCTGGATTACTCTGTGACCAAGAAGGACTTTCACCTACTCAATCACAAATTTAAAAAAGAATCAAGCACTGAGAAAGTAAGAGAAATTTTTCTACAGACTGAAAGTTATAATGCACATGTCTTTATGAACTTCCCTAGATTTGAGGATTATAATCTCTTTGAGATCACCAGATGGTAAAGCTTTCTATAAGCAACAAAAATGTGTATAATCACCATTTTAGGTTTCAGTTGTGTAGTATTATCCCCATGCCCTAAACGGCCATACTCTCCAAGGCCCCAGGTGTACAGCTCCCCGCTGGATGTGATGGCTGCACTGTGAGAGCTCCCACAGGCGATGTCCCGGATGCGCTTTGTTTTCAGGGCCTCAATCAGTCTGGGCTTGTCACAGTTCCTAAGACAAAATTAGACCACTCTTTCTTAAACCATTCCATTCTTTAAAAAAAAAAAAAAAGGAAATCTATATTATTTGACATTTAGTCAATATTTAATCTGTAAATTAACTCAACTATGAAATCTCAAAACAGACCATAAGACAAACCATATTAATTAAAACTTATTGAAGCTTCATTGATACAAATGATCTATCCTACTTTAATGTGTAGTACATAACAACAAAAACACACTCTTATTATCAGTAACACTTTCTTATGACCAAGTAAGACTAAAGAAAATATTCTTACATTCTGCTAAAGTGTCCAAGTTTTCCATCATCACCTTCACCCCATGAAAACACTTTGCCATCGACAGTTAAAGCTGCAGCGTGCCGGCCACCTGTAATATTCATATAGAACAGGGTCCAAAAAATTTGTTATGAAAAGTTCACAGGATAATCATCTATTTTGACTGCTAACCAGAAGGCCGGTGGTTCAAACCCACTGGCCACTCCCCGGAAAGAAGGTTGGACAATCTACTACTTCCGTGGTAATACTGCCTTGGAAACACAAAGAGGGGTCGCTAGGGGTCAGATCTGACTCGATGGCAGTGGGTTTTGTTTTTTTGGTTTATAGAATGTTTTTAATGAGTAAGTATTTAAAATTATCAATATTGAGCAATCATGAAAAGCTTTCTAGGTGACAAATATGCAAAGTAAGTGAATCTTATTAAACTATTAATTTTAACTCCTTTATAGAATTTTACTTCCAAAGAACTAAAATAATAAAATGATGCTAATTATTAATGGGATTCGAGTGATGTTAAATATATAAAGTATCAAAATTCAGATCAATATAAAAGTAAGCACATTTGTAATTAGACAAATTAATTATCTACAACAACGACAAATTAAACTTTAGAGAGCTGCACCCTGAGGGGACTAATTTAAGAAAAAGCACCACCATTTGCAATTAAGACACCCTATCACTCTTTCTAAAACACATCTGTTCAAACTGCTCGTCCCAAATCTAAATCCCCTTCAATGATAAACAGGGACCTGCATCCACATTCTCCACAGTGACTCCATCAACACAAAGAAAACAGCCCAAAAGCCCAGCACACCTGAATAAATAACAAAAAGAATAATAAAATACATCAGCTCCACCCTTGCAAAAACATTTAAATATAAAAATCAAGGCAAAACAAATCAATATATAACTAACAGTTAAACGGGCAACCTCAAATCAAACAAACAAACAAACCAGGATAATACAATAGAAAAAAAATCTAAAAGAAAAATTTCTTTAAACATGGAGGAAGTGGAGGTAATAGAATTATGGGAGAAAGAATTTAGAAGACATGTATATAGAACTCTACAAGAGTTCAAGGAAAGCACAAACAGAATCAATGAGAAGACAGACAGTACCCTGGAAGAATACAGGAAAACCACCCAAGAACAAAATAAAAAGATAAATACACAATCAGAACTCATACAAAAAGAGCAGTTAGAAATCCAGAAGATAACACTAAAATTACAGAGTTAGACAAGACAGAAAAAGGACAAAAGAGTACAACAGAATTGGCTGACAAATACATTTCTTGATGAGAAGAAAATCCCCTGATGCTAGCCTGTATGAGGAAAAGTTAGAACAAAGATTGAAGAGAAATGAAGAGAACCTAAAAGTTATATGGGATGACATAAAAAGAAACAACATACGCCTCTCACTGGAATACCAGAAAAAGAGGAGGCAAAAAAAAAAAAATCAAAAAAACCCCAGAAAATTGTGGAAGATATGGAAAGAAAATTTCCCACATATCAGAAGGCAGAAAAGGGATCTCCAAGAAGTTCAATGAACTCTATATAGGAAAGTTACCAAGAGAAAGTCACCAAAACATATCATAATCAAAGTCTCCAAAACCAAAGACAAAGAATCTTGCAAGCAGCCTAGGAAAAAAGAAATATCACCAACAATGGACAAGCATTTAGGCCAATTCTGATTACTCAGCAGAAAGCATGTAGGCAAGAAGGAAATGGGACAGCATATAAAAAACACTCCAACCAAAAATTCTATATCCAGCCAACTGTCCATCAAATATGAAGGTGAAATCAAGACATTCTCAGACAAACAAAAATTACAGGATTTTATGAAAAACAGACCAACCATACAAGAAATTCTTAAGGAACTCCTTCCTTCCAATAGAGAACACACAACAGAGAGAAATAAATTAAAATCGGGACATGTGACCTCAACACTAAAACTAAATTAGAAATAAAAGCTCAAAGTAATCCCATAAAACATTTTGTTTCAAAAATACAAGGGATTCAATCTGCACACAACACAAGCAACAAAACAAATAAAAGGATTAAAAGTTCTAGGTACATAACTTCCAAATGGACGGGAATACAAGACAATATCCTATGTTCCAAAAAACAGACAAGAATTCACTCCAAGAGAGTTCCCAGTAAGGTGGCGGAATAGGCAGAAAGACAAGACAGACAAAGAAAAGGGGAACCAATTAACACAGATACAGAAGATAATCATGGAACCTTGAGCTTTGAAGGGAAGGCTATAGAAGTGGACTAAATTCCAACTAGTACAAGAATTTGCATGAAAACACCAAAAAAGCAGACATACGGAGTTGCGGTCTGGTAGTGATCCTGACAACACAGACAGCCTGGATACTGTTCAATAGTGTTAGGACCTAAGAATTAACCTAATTATCAGCCCTGCTAGCCAGCGTCTACATAGAGGACTGCACTGGTGGCTGGTGAATAAAAGGGGAAGCAGTGAAGAGGAAGGCAGGATGAGCTGTGGATTTTTGCTTCTCTGGAGGTCACAGCTATTTTGAATGTTTACAAGCGGTTTGACCATTCTGGATATTTAATGTGACAGCATTCTCCCAGATTCCAGGAACTTAAGAATAGGCTCCACTTGCAGGGAACAAGAGGGACATTTCTGACACCAATGACTGAAAAGGTGTAATACTCCTTTTGTTATTCTTCTACCCCACACCCTTTTGGTGAACAGAAGTGCGGCCATCCCTCACTCCCACCCAACAAGGCCAGCTGGAATTTCACCTCAGTCTGTATGCTGAGACAGAGCCTGGGTGCCTCTCCTGCCTTGATTTTTTCTTTTTTTTTCCTTTTAGTTTGTTTGTTTTTATCTATTCTAAAATTATTATTCTTTTCTACTTTGTATTATTATTCCTTATTCTTCACTTCCCAGGTTCTAGTTTTCAGCTTTTTCTTTCTTCCCAATTCCTGGTTCCAATTTTTTCTCTCATGGTTAACTCCGTTTCTTGTTTTTCTTTTGCATTTTCCCCACTTTTTTCTTCACTATTCTCCTACTTTACCTATTTTCTCTTACTGCCATCCGCCAGATATTGCACATTGTTTTTCTTTTCTTTTTTGGTGATTGTTCCTGTGTGTTTAAATGGTGTGTTTTTTCAATGCTTGCTTTTACAGTTTTGATAGTTTTTCAATAGTTGTTTTTGTCTAAATGAGTGGGAGACAGGAACAGTGCCCGTACGACACAACCACACTCATACTCCCTGCAGCTCCACCTAATGAGTGACAGCCACCACTTCCTTCTCTACCAACTGGCCAATGACAAACGATCACCAAGAAGAGCCTGATTCACACTTACTGGTTCTCATTAACAGTTAAACAGAGATCTGAATACAACAATGTCACAATGTCTTGGAGACAACAGACCGTAACAGTCCCTACAAAGAAGTAAGATAAAGTGGTAGAAAAAAAGGAACAGGAAATAGACCCAGAACACATCCCTGAGGAAGAAGCAGCATTGGAACTCCCTAATAAGGAATTTAGGGACTCTAGTGGCATAGTGTCTAAGGCACTTGACTTGATAACCAGAAGGCTGGCTATTCAAACCCACCAGCCACTCCTCAGAAGGAAGGTTGGGAAATCTATTTCTGAAGTGATACCACCTTGGAAACCCATGGAGAGGTCGTTATGAGTCAGGTCTGACTCAAAAGCATATAACAACTACAATAAGGAATTTAAAAGAATTATATTTACATACCTTCAAAGGGTTGATAGACAGCTCAAGGAAAACACTGACGAAATTAAGGAAAATTCAGAGAAAACCGTACAACAATTTCACAAGAAAATACAAGAACAAAATGACAAAATAAATTAAAAATTAGAAATGATTCAAAATCTACAGACAGAAATCCAGAACATTCATACTAAATTTTCAGAAATAGATAACACATTAAAAAGGCAAAGGAGTAGAACTGTATCAACAGAAGACAGAATTAATGAGATTGAAGACAAATACCAGAATACTTCTTTGGAAAGGGATCAATCAGAAAAAAGACCAAAGTAGTGTAGTGCCTCAGGGACTTGACTGCTAACCAGAAGGCTGGCGGTTCAAACCCACCAGCCACTCCTCGGAAGGAAGGTGGAGCAATCTACTTCTGTAGTGATACTGCCTTGGAAACACAAGGAGGGGTCGCTATGGGCCAGGTCCAACTCAACGGCATATAACAACAAAAACAACAAGGTTCATATGGGATACCATCAAAAGGAGTAACCTATGTCTATCTGGAATTCCACAACAGGAAGACAAAAATAAAACCACTGAGAAAACTGTCCAAGATTTGTTGGAATAGAACTTGTTGATATGAAGAAAGATGTGAATATATTCATTCAAGAAGTCCAATGAAGCCCAAACAGGATAGACACCAAAACAAAATCACCAAGACAGACTATCATCAAACTCATGAAAGACAAAGACAGAATCCTGAAAGCAGCTTGGGAAAAATGGAAAGTTACAAAGGACAACCAATAAGAATAAGATAAGGACACAGAACTGAGAACCCAGAAATAGATCCATCGACCTATGGTCAGCTGATCTTTCACAAAGGGCAAAAATCCATTAAATGCGGAAGAGAAAGAATGTCTGTTTAATAAACGGCCCTGAAAAAACTGGATATCCATTTGCAGAAAAATGAAATAAGATCTGTACCTCACACCATACATAAAAACTAACACCAAATGGATCAAAGACTTACATGTGAAACCTAAAACTATGAGTTGAGGAAGACGTGCTGCTGAAAGAGACACACACTGTTGGGAAAGAGATGCAATAGACACGCATTGCTGAGTGACACACTGAGGAAAACGCAGTGCTGGAAGAGAGACTGAGACTGTGGCTGAGAGATGGTGGGCTGGGATAGAGACTAAGCATTTTTCCTGAACTTGAATCCTAGCCTGGTGCTTCCCTAATAAACCCTGTAATCAGTGAGTTCTGTGTGGCCACTGCAGCGAATTATCAAACCCAGGAGAGAGGTGCTTTGGGTGGAACGGTTGGTGAAAGGGCTGGAGGGAGGCAGCATGTCTGGCCTTGCAGGAATAGGCCTTGGGTTACTGA